TTCTCGAGCTACATTAATTGTGAAATTAAACAAGATAATACATTCAAGAGAAGATAAATTTACTCATGTTATCTCATTGTTCCTCGAGCAATTAGTCTTGAAAAACCACCATATAAAATTAATTAGTCAATAATCTCCGTCTTAATCCATGCAAGACTTCACCTCATTTACGAGAAGATATTACGTTACCCTATTTGAATCCCACCTATAAATAACTAACAACATCCCCGCAAATCTTCACCATTAGACTATTTTCAATTCTTCATTTTAACCTTTTCTAATATCAGAAAGCAGAACAACATATCTTGAAGATGGACAGCAAAGGAGTCAAAAAGGGCGTTGATGGTAGCTCTCCTGAGACAATGGTTGCTCCGGGTACCGGAGGTGAAGTTAGAATTGTCAGGGAGGATTTCGAGAAGAATCCACAGGCTTATTTTGCCCAACTGCACGAGAATGAGAAGGGCAATGATGCTAGCTCGCCTGCGACAATGGTAGCTCCGGGTACGGGAGGGGAAATTCGAATTGTCAGGGAGGATTTCGAGAAGAATCCACAGGGTTACTTTGCTAAACTGCACGAGAATGAGAAAGCAAACAAGTAGTAGTAATGTTCCTGGTGCTGCTGCTGCTAATGCCTCTGAGTAGTGCATGATGAAATAATTATCTACTAAATAAATTCAAAGTTTATGAGCTTAACTTTCTTTTCTATCCAGCTTCCAACAAAACCCAATCAGAATTCATAACAACAATCAAAACTCATTCAAGGATACAAATAATCAAATACATTTTCGTCTGTCTAGGTCGATAGAAAATCTTATTCATAGTCGATAGAAAGTCTATTATAGACAGAAATGTTTAGGTAAAATAATATCCTCAATATCGATTAAATCACTCCAGATACGAAGGAATGAACGATCAATCACCATACACTTAAAAAATTTTCAGACCAACAAGAAACAACTAATATTACCGACAGAGGGGGATATCCAATTGGCGCGAAACATCAAAAAGAAAATCCGATTTCGACATAACAGCTGAATAAATAAAATAGTCCAGCCAGCAACACGTAAACTCTACTAACCTTAAGCGTCTTTTAAACTACCGAGTTTCCTGTGGACTCCTTCTTCATCGCTTCAAAATACGGCTTCGATTCCGGCAAACCGGATAATTTGTAAATCCCGTTTAGAAAGAGAAAATTAAATGAAGAAGAAAGAGGAAGTGTCAAGAAAGGGTAATTTCGTAATTATGGTAAAAGGCGAAGGTTGGTTGTGCAATTGAAAAATAAGATTCAAGAAGACGAGAACCCACGGCCCATCGAATTACTCTTCGTCTTCTTCTTCGTGCTCATGGGCCATATGTTTTTTTTTCCGCTGAATCTCCGGTTGTCAATCATTATGAACAGAGCGCCCATCAATTTCACGTTTATCTGAAAATATTTTGTTTAATCTCCTACAAAAATTTCTAGAGATGTTTTTTTTCTGGATATAAAACGTTGAGTTGACATTTAAAAGTTGAATCTTTTCAATA